GTATACACGCAAAGAAGTAATTGTATGCGCAACGTCAATTTAAATTAAAAAGTACCTTATCACTGATACGATTCGCAACAGCAGAGTTGTACGCCGCTAACTACAAATGTTAAACTGTAAAAATACAAATATACATGATTATTATAGAATAATTATGCAAAATTGAAATTATTGTATTAAATATTTATTATTTTTTAAAATAGGTATTTATTAAATTAATTATTGATTACTCAAAAAAAGTCTTTCTTTTAAATTTAAACTCACAAAATTTTACACGTATGGTTTTGTCTCTAACACTTATTCGAGTCCTCGTTCGCATCATTTCAATAAATAAAATAAAAACACAGAACAGATTCTTTATTTTGCACAAGTAGCAAATAACATTAAAATGTAATAAGACACTTACCTCACCGATTTTTCTGCCGTTGCCCGATGCCTCCTTGGCCTCCACCTCCTCTCAGATTTCCTTGTTGCACTCACACAACACTTACTCGCGAAAATCATCGATCGCGCGAAATTTCGAGCACTCCCGTACGCGATGTGAAATACCGCGAAACGCACGAAATATTATTATCGCGTGACTTTCTATCATACAAATTACTGAAACTAGCACCTTGCATTTTTGATTCGGAAGAAGTAGGATAATTGATAAATCACTTTTGAATTGGCGATACAAAACGCAACGCAAGCATCAGAATCCAAGCATAATCTGCGGTAAAGAAGTAATTACTTTTATTAAGTCCGCAACGAAATGATATTTTACAATCTTTATTGTCATTCAATCTAATCCTCGAAGTGAATTATATGAGCGAAACCTCCGGCGATAGTTGTTATTAATTGCAACACTTATTTGAGATAATTTTCGATTACATTCACATTATGTAACGACGTGTAATGAGCGACTTTCTTTACTTCCTGCCCGTTCGAGTTGCAAAGAACGACACAACGAATTACAGCGCGAACGCCGAAGTCGTACAAATTTCTCTCTTTTCCCGAAAATGGAACAGATTACGCGAAATCGACAGATAATTAAAAGCGCGGTGCGTAAACGAGATGTAACCGCGACAAAGTACCACGGTATATAGTATATTCACATTTTGAGTTAGTCTCGTGAAATATCTATGTAGACGTTGATAAAGAGCCGTCGCCACAACATGTAATTCGTTTCTCATAACAAGTTGTAGAAACTTAATAATTAATCGAGGAACGTTACTTGTTACTGCATGATAAAGGTGCACAATTCAATAGCGGTTTATCCCTACATTTATCGCGATCGAGTCTAAACCGATAACGCGAAGGTAATACGACGCACGGAGCGACTCTCGCCACTGCCTGCCGGCTCGACGTTCGGCGAGCGAATGATACCGCGGCGACCTTCGCGTAAACAATGGCCCGCGTAACGTCGCACGATACCGCGCGGGAAGAAAAACACCAACGAACGTTGAGAATTCGTTGTCTTTTTTGTTCCGTGACTGTTACTACGTTTTGTGTATCATTCTGCGGACTTATTGGCATATAGCTTAAATTAACGATTAATTCTGTTCAATCGAGAAAATGTTTTAAAACAAAAATCGTTGTTACTAAAATTCTAATTACTAAACTTAGAGACTTTATCTCAATATAAATACGAGTATTACTATTACATATAGTTCGAAATTTTATTTGTGGTTGTTATTGCAATATTTATAGTACACCTTACCAGATTAAAAGCTCACTTTGGTTTATGACAACCATATCATAAATTGCATGGACCAATATTGTGTCTATGAGAACTACAATACATTGTTAGATCAAGCATAACTTACGTAATTGAAAGAATTATAAAAATGTGGTTGGCTTCTAAAATGACTATAAATTATAGTGAGATTGTGGTAACTGCAACCATTTTTTCCTATCAGGGAATGGATGGGCGTCACAGAAAAATTTTCTTCCTAATGCTCGCTAACACTTGAGGTAGAAATTTTGTTTCTGTGATTTAAATTTATCGAATACAAAGCATCTGCGACTTCGCAGCATTTATTTAGATATCTCAGTTTTTTTCGTACGTAGAAAATTGATGCTGCAGTTGCAAAATCATTTTTTTCAGCGATATTCTTATCATTCCCAAATTAGGCTGCATATTCCTTCCTCAAACATTTGATGCATTCTCGCCCGTAAAAATAAGTATGTATGTAAATGTGTATGCGAGTGTATTGAGCTCGGGTTCGTGGGTTCGATAAACTCAAGTGACTGCAGAGATCAGTCATCCCTGCGGGAGTTATAAATATACGTCGTTTCGAAGAGAAATGTGATTAAATATCGCAAACTTTCTGGGTGGGGGTGAAAAAGCTACGTTTTCCGTCGGTGTTTTAATTGAAAGATGTTACAATTTTAATCGAAGGGGATACATTATCGAAGGCACGTTGCGCAGCGCGTTGGTAAAAATTCAAACTATCCGCGGCCGGAGTCCCAAGTTTAACGCAACGAAAAACGATATATATTTCTGTCGTCGGATTGTGGACTAAACCGCGCAATTTCGGACGGGGCGGTTTCGCCGCGACGCATATATCACGGGAATCGGACGTGCAGATTTTTTTCAGATATATCTCGCGGGCGGCCGACGCGCGGAAACCGCGTGCATGCGAAAGAAGAGAAAAAAAAAATAAAACCCCCCGGCCGGGCGTACGCGCGTACGTGCGTCTGCCTCTTCATAAAGTCATAACTCAACCGTGCCCTCCCCTCCCCCTTCCCACCCCCGGCGCGCATCCCACGGCATAACATTTAAAACGATTTCCGCTGGCAGCCGTGCCAAGACCGTAGCAGCGTTGTTTCGGGGATAGATTAACGAAACATAACGCCAGTACTCGCTACGGACTTCCAAGGGGTAGCTCAGATAATGGGAAGGGGCGTGTTGGCACCGCTCTGGCAGTTAAGCAGCATTCAGTGCCGGCGATGCCGCCGCGGCTCGGCCTCCGGGGCCGCGATCGATGGAAAATTTCGGGAGTTTCCGAGCGAAACCCAGGCCCCCCGAGAGGGACCTTACGCGGCGCACGGAAGAGGGTTTAAAACGCTGTAAAAAGTATATTTAAGAGATGTAATGACGATCGATTACACGCGGGAAGGACTCGATGCACGAGGCCGAGTGTTACGGACGCGATAAATGTCCGGTGGAAATAATCTCGAAGGTCCCGAAGATATCGTAACTTTCTAGCGCTGTATGAGGGAGAGCCACGTCGAGTTGGCAACTCGGCCGGTGGGAGTAACGGTGCACGTCCAGCGTTATTTACGACGTTACGACATTATAATGCATCGTATTTTTTTTTGCTCTCTCTGTGCCCTTGAGGCCGACTTGCCTCGCTCGCTACGACTCAAGCGAATGCGAACATGCGAGGATGTGCGTCCTCCGATCCCTCCCAGTTTGAGAAAAATGCGAGATTTCTGTACTACCGCCCTAGTGGAAATACTTTACGGAAAATATAATGAAATTTTGCTGGAATGTACTTGAAAATCTCTGAACATAATAAAATTGGTTCTGTCAAAAAATTTCGATAACAATTTGATGATTTTCCTTAAAAGTTAACGCAGTCTTTAGTTAAATTCAGGAAAAATTTCATAATTCATCTAATCTTTCATAATTTTTTTAATTGTTCGACGGTATATTTCAACTCTTTTTATATTTCACAGTATTACATTGAATTTTACATTGAATTTAATCAATTTCATGATTTCTTTATTATTTTTAACAGCATACGTTCACTTTCTTTGTATTTCACAAGGATAGTTACGATTTTTTTTACAGATACTTTATCCTTTTATCAATACTTCAGTAAAAATTCAGTGACAAGTCATTTTCGTTAAAACAGATTTTGATTAAATCCAATAAATATCGTAATTTCTTTATTACTTTTTAACAGTATACTTTAACTTTCCTTATATTCCAGTTTTACATTGAATTTGACATGGAAAATGATGGTACAATTTGATAGAATTTCAGTAATTCTTCAATGGCTTTCATTATCATTTCATCAATATTTCAGTAACAATTCAGTAAATTTCATAATTTATCTAATCTTACATAATTCCTTTATCACTTTCCAACAGTATACGTGAACTTTTCTAATATTTCACAGTTTATTGCATTTCATAAGGAAAATTATGATTCATTTTGACAGATACATTCAGTAATTCTTCAATAACTTTCATCTCATCTCTCATCGATTTCGCAGTACTTTCTGCAAGATATCTCCATCAGGGCGCGAAAAGGATATAAGAGCGCGCGTCTTGGCATTTGCAAGGAATCCCGCACGGAAAGTCTGATGATACATCGCGGACTTGCCGCGTCAGTGCCATCCCCGCGATCGCGCTCGTTCCCTTCACCCGTCCGCCTCTTCTCCACCCTAAACGGACTCTCGGCGTTAAGAGATTAACTCGTCACTTCGGCCCGTTTTAATATCCCAGAGTCGGTGGGCGGCGAATCCGCCGAAATTAGTCGGAGAAATCCGTTACTGTCGCGTCCGCGGCACTGTTTGCGCGCATCTCGATTATAAAAATAATAATGCTCCGCCATGCGTGCACGCTTAACGGCCAGCCGATCGGGCGTAGAGCCGGAAATCGGGGACTAAATAAATCGATATCTCGAAGTCTCGCCCGCAAACTTGGAACCGCTCCAGCGGTCTCGCGGCGAAACGAACGCGCGGCGTCGTCTTTCGGACAGCTAATTCACGCGTATCGTATTACTTCGAGTTATGATAACCCGATATTCGCATACGCTGCGCGTCGATGGAGCTTTGTGATTAAGAAAAATATATCGCCTCCACCGGAGCCACGTCTCCAAGTCGGCGCGTCGGGCGCACGCTCGCGGGCACGGCGGACTTAACGAGAGTGCGCTTATTAAGCGAGACCGAAATAAGATTTCCGCGCAACGGGGCGGGCGCAACACGCGGGAGTGAGGTGGCATTAATGGAATATAATTGGTCGAAAAGTAGGTAAACCGCTCGCGGTAAAACGTTGTAAACACTCACCCCTGGTAAAGTCCGCTTCTCATGCAGAGCGTTCTGGGCGCTGATTGCGCTGTCACGGCTGTAGTAGGTGAGGAACGCGCAGCCTGAAAACGAAAAAGAAACAGAAACCTTATCTCTCGCGAAGATTAACCAGCGCACGGCGCTACGACATAGCATCCGCGAAACAGAGAGAGAGAGAGAGAGAGAGAAAGAGAGAGGGGGGGAGGGAGAGAGAGAAAGAGAGCTACAGAGAGTGAGCTCTTTACGTACCCCCTTTATCGTAGAGGCATCGAGAGTCGCGACGCACGCGAGAATTCGGGCGGGGTAATCACTTAGAGAAATATTGCGACGTGCTCGCGAGACGAGGTTTATCGGCGCGGTGTAAAACGCAAGAGCCTTTCGCGCAGCTGGGTACTTGGGGTCCGTCGAAATAAAAGTTTTATACGCCAACTTGGGCGCGCCGAGCCGACTCTAATGCGGCGTCTACAATGAGATCTTTAAGACTTAAGAAAGTGACCTATCACAATCGAATGCGAGGAAAATAATCGACTGCTATTGGTCATTTTCTGAAATCTTACGTCCTCAAGATCCTATTGTAGACGCCGCATAACCCCGGGTCCACAATCCTGCTTTAAGTAAGCTGTAAGCCTTAAGCCGTAAGAAATTAACCAATCACAGGCATTTATTCCCCGCACTCTCACCTGTGATTGGTCGCGAAGGGTCGCGCGCGGATAACGCGGATCAGCTCCCAATCGCCGCGATTAACGCGAGGCAACGTGTTAACGTAAGGCCGGATTCACACCTTGGCAGAAAAGCAGAAGCCAATCGAAACTCGCGCTGGTAGTAAACAGCACGCTCTGCTGGCAGAAAGTAGAAACTGTCGACTACCAACGGCGGTTCTGGTTGGTTCTGCTTTCTGCTTTTCAACTTTAAAGTGTGAATCCAGCCTAAGGCTGATGGCAGAGAACGATCCGTAAACGCTTAAGACTGTTTTAGTCGTAGACGTAAGGCAAGGCGAAGAAAAACGTAAGTCGTATACGATAGCCTTTCGTGACGGTATGTTTTTCTCTGCCTCGCCTCGCGTCTACGACTAAAACAGTCTTAAGCGTTTACGGATCGTTCCTCTGCCATCGGCCTAATTAGACAGGCCGGTGGATGACTCGCTCGCTGCGCAATTCCGGCGTTCGCGAAACTTTTACGCGGCGATCCTTACGACGCGCACAAACGCGAGGGGATTCTCTGTCGTAGCCGCGGAAAGCAAACGTGACGTTTCATCGATGACGACGACGTCACCGTCAAAAAACCGGCCCGCCGAGACTCCGGCCATCGATTGTGTCAACGGCGGAAGAATAATTTCTGCGGGGACGTCCCCCCCGCGGGAATTGGTCGCTCGCGCGACTCCCCGCGTTTCGATCCCCGCGCGCGATACGCACCGTCACTCGTAAAACGCCGCCGCTTAATCGCGCGGCAACGCGCAGGAACACGTTATGCGAGTTTCGCGGCTACGCTATCATCTTCGTCAGATAGTAATATCGATGTAGCGACGGAAACGGCCCACCCACCGCACCGGCCGGCCGACGTCGCGCTCACGCGAGCCTCGCGCAGCACTCTAGAGCCGTTATCTCGTGGTGGGTATAAATAGCCCGGTATTAGTCGTACTTCAGAAGTTCATACGCCGCTTATCCGCCACCGTAAAATTATGCGCACGCTTATAATTTTATACAAAGTATACCGTCCCTTATCGGGCCAACAATCGGGTCAATTTAGGCGGAAACCGTCGCCGTGCAGTTATATTTTGATTTAATTCGCGAAGAGAGGAGGGGTAGGGGGCGACAAATGTATTGAAGGTAACAATCGTAGCGACGAGGCATCGTCAATGGTAGAATCTGACGTAATGTTGCGTAATGTAGAGCGCCTTGGGAAGCAAAAATCTACGCCTGCGCGCGTGTGGAGTCGATTCTCGTGTAGACCACGACTCGGTTTAAGAAATAGCATCGATATCGCGGTGGGTTAAAACGATGGTAATTAACCCGGGAATATTGGACGGCGCCTGAACCAGACCATTATCGGCTATCGCACTGTCGAGCAAACCCCCTGGGACCGCCTTCCTATCGGTCTGAGAATTTATTCAAAGGGCCTCTCGGTCCTATCTGATCACCATTTGACTATCTCAACACGGGGAGATGGATGTAAGCGAGCACGCGCGGCGCGAGAGCCGCGGACAGACCCCCGAAGAGCCGGCGGGAGGCGATTGCGCAAATATTTATGACGCGACTCTATCGGCGCGACTCCGTCACTTACGGGATTCATTGAATTCATTAAATACACTCACGTGCGGAGAATCCATTCGCGCACTCATATAATCTCCATCTCAATTCACCCCCGAACATATTACACGCCGACGTCTCACTTCTTAATAATTATCTCGTGATGTGGATACCTTGCTTGTAATTTTACCACGCGACGACGCGGTTCTGTTATCGCGAAAAGAGAAAAAAAAACAACCGGGCATTTAATACAATTCATAAACACGCATGCGCACACGTAGGCAGTGTCCAGTTTATTCAATTTCGGTGTCAATCATTTAATTCGTGTAGTCACTCGAGCAAACTAAATTAGCCCAGGAACTATCGATTCGCAGATCACTGCATCTTTTACCCGCGAGGGAATTTAACATTTTTCTGCGAGGCGCAGAAAGATGTACGCTCCTTAGTAAACAAATGAACGAAAAGATCCGAGTTTAAATCACGGACACCGCCGGTTTTCTCGAACGCCACCTCTTGGAGGAAAGTAGCAACCACCGGGAGTATCCTGCCGCACGTACCCCTTTAAGGCTCGGTTTCAGCAAACGTCAGTTAACTTTAATCTTACAAGTAACACCACCCAACCGCCACTCAGCGATTTGAATGAAACTTGGCACACTTATTGAACACCAAAAAATATTGAACACGTATTTTTTTGTTTCAGCTAGCACGCTTTTGATACGGAGAATCGACGTGAAATTTCACATTCAGAATGAAGAGTGGCATGAGGGATCCTATTGGCCCAGAAAGGTCATTTGAAGGTCAGTTTGTTTTTCTTACAGAATTTTGTGTTTGCCTTCAGAACGATATATTGGAAAAGTATGTTCCGAGACCTAGAGGTGCTAGCACCTTCCAAAACACGAATTGACCTCGAACTGACCTTGATGATTAACCTCAATGTCAACTTCAATGTTACCGTCAACACACTGAACCCTAAAACTCTTGTTCCAGGCATTTTTTTCGAAAAATGTATCGTTCCGAAAATAATTCGCCGTAACAATTCCCACCCCTAGGGATTGAGGGGTGATTTCTACCCCTAAATTTGGCCGAAACAAAAAAATACGTGCTCAATATTTTTTGGTATTCAATAAGTGTGCCAAGTTTCATTTAAATTGGTGAGTGGCAATTGAGTAGTGTTACTTGTTAGTTTAATTCACGTTCGTCTCTTTCTAAAGTAACAGTTAGAAAGAGACAAAGAACGAATTAAGCTAAGCTTAAAGTTGAACAACGTTGGTGAAACCGGGTCCTAGGCGTATACACTATACAAAATGTCTTACTAACGCAAGTAGATCTCTAAGTCGCAACAAAAATGTATCGCTATTTTTTGTATTTGTTAGAAAATTGTTTGTAGCCTGCAAAATTTATAGCAGCAACATTCTAGTAATACTTTCGGGAAAGTTAAGATTTCATGACTAAATATTAATTATTCACATTGGATAAAACTTAATTTCGGTACCATAGAACAATCTTTGTAAGAAAAATAACCACAATAAAACGTTATATAATGGATGGGCGTCACGGGAAGACTTTCTTTCTAACATTCGCAAACAGTTGAGATCAAAATTCCGTTTCTGTTATTTAAATTGATTAAATACAAAACATCCGCGATTTCGCAGCATTCATCTACGTATCTTAGTTATTTTTTCGTGCCTAGAGAATTGATGCTGCGGTTGCAAGATCATTTTGTTATAGCCCTCCAGGTTGGAGGTTTTCTTCGGCAAGATTAGCAGTCTACCGAAGATGAGGTAAAACCAAATGCTCAAAGTACCAAAACGAACTGAACGAAACAGGCTTTAAGCCTAATACACGAGGACGAAGAAGAAGAGGAACTTAAATTCCAAGCCGCGCTGTTTTACGGCGCGATACTCGAGACGTTTTAATCTCGCGCGAGGACCTGGACGGGGCGCAGCTTCGCGCCGACGGCGGGGAATGTGCACCGGGTATGCACACGCGCCCTATTTCTCTCGCTCCCTTCCGGTGGTCTTCCCCTCGCCGAGGAGTCACGTCGCGCAAACGAGAGAACGAGGAAGTAAGAGAGGCGTGAGGCGCGCCGCGCGCATTTGTAATTTTTCATGCGGCACGTCGCACGCGTCCAGAGAGAGCCCGGCGCGGTTATCTCCGACGCCGCGGTACGTCTCGTTCGCACGTAGGACGTCCAACCCGACCCGGGGAATAAGTCCGCGTGCAAGGGCTGGTGGCGCGAGGGACGCGTCCGCGGTGGCCGAAAGTTCGCGCGGGGCCTGCGGCTGGTCACGGCCGCTCGCGTGTCGGATACACGGGAGTCCACGCTATTTCGGAGAGACGCCCGAAAATATTTATAAACATCGCGCGTCCGCGCTTATCTTAATTGCATTGGGGGCTCGGCGACCAGCCGTAGACCAGCGGGAATAGAAAACTTGGTCGCGGCGGCGAATCGCGAAAGCCCCGGCGGGCCTCCCGAGGATGAATTAGCTGGCGGCGACGCGCGACAAGAACGGGGACAATCGTTTCCTCGCGCGCGCGCGCGCGCGCGCGCCGCGCCACGCCATGAATCTTCCCGCCGCTTTTGTCTTTTTCAGTTGAATTCAATCTGCGAGCGGCGCAATACGGTCCACCCGGGAGGGGGGAAAATAAGATACCTCGTCGCGACGAATGGGCGTACATTCGTAACGCCGGTAAATAGCGGCGGGGCAAGTTTGACGCGCAAGTTTGACTTTGGAGTCTACTGTTTGCTCCGCTATCGGAGGGCCGCTTTTGAGCCATCTATTTTCGAACTGGGACAGTTCGGCTATCGCCTCTCGTCGAGAATACAAAGAGTTAAT